AGGGAAATAAAAAACAAAACAAAAAAAACAAAACAGGTTGGTGTAAGCATAAGCAGCAAACAAAAAACAAAAGAAAACGAGCAAAATAAGAAATGGGATAAAAGATAAACATGCTAAAGAAGAAGAAGGAAAAGAAAAACAAAACAAAAAAACATAAAATGCAGCAAGCACCAACTGCTACAAAAGAAAATCTCAAATAATTATGATAAAATGACAACAACAATTACGATGCGCTGAAATGAAATGAAACATGATATGACAAAATGATTAGACTAATCATGAAATAATGAAATGATAATAGCAATAACGCCATGGCAAAAAATACCGATAAAAAAGCAGCCCGCATTCCACCTGCAACATCAACTAATTCAGTTATTGCTCTTTTGGTCAGTCATTCCCACCAACCTCTGTTTTGCGTCTAGTTCTTTCATACGCATCGCACCTTCTTTATTATTTCCCCCTCTCTCTGCTCCCCTTCGCAGCTCCGTCCGTATCTCTCTTGTTTATTTAATTATTTGCTCTCATGTAGATACGGGGAAAACGTTTTTTTTGCTCATGTAGATACGTAGTATACGGGAAACTTTTTTTTTTTTGTAAAACGGGGAAAACGTTTTTTTCTTCACATGTAGATACGGGGAAAACGTTTTTTTTTTTTGTTTAGTATTTTTTTCTAATACGGAAAACGTTTTTTCTCATGTAGTATCGGGAAAGGCTTCTCGGGGAAAACGTTTTTTTCATTCGGGAAAACGTTTTCATGTAATACGCGGGGAAAACGTTTTTTGTAGAACGGGGAAAACGTTTTTTTTCTCTCATGTTACGGGGAAAACATTTTTTCTCATGTAGATACGGGGAAAACGTTTTTGCTCCTGTAGATACGGGAAAAACGTTTTTTTCTCATGTAGATAGGGAAAACGTTTTTTTTCTTTCTCAGTAGGGAATAAATACGGGAAAACGTTTTTTTTTGTTCGGGGAAAACGTTTTTTTCTTAAAACGTTTTTTTAATGATACGGCGGAAAACGTTTTTTTCCTCATGTAGAATACGGGAAAACGTTTTTTTTTCTCATGTAGATACGCGGGGAAAACGTTTTTTCTCATGTAAAACGGAAAACGTAATTTTTCTCATGTAGATACGGAAAACGTTTTTTTCTTCATGTAGATACGGGGAAAACGTTTTTTTTCTCATGTAGATACGGGGAAAACGTTTTTTTTCTCATGTAGATACGGGGAAAACGTTTTTTTTCTCATGTAGATACGGGGAAAACGTTTTTTTCTCATGTAGATACGGGAAAACGTTTTTTTCTCACGAAACGTTTTTTTTTTCATGGAAAACGTTTTTTCTCACGTATGTAGATACGGGGAAAACGTTTTTTTTCTCATCGGGGAAAACGTTTTTTTCTCTTTAGATACGGGGAAAACGTTTTTTTTCTCATATACGGGGAAAAAGTTTTTCTCATGTAGATACGGGGAAAACGTTTTTTTTTCATGTAAACGGGAAAAACGTTTTTTGTCATCATGTTTTACTGGGTAGGGAAAACGTTTCTCTAGGGAAAACGTTTTATGTAGATACGAGAAAACGTTTTCTTTCTTCTGATGTAAGATACGGGAAAACATTTCTTTTTTTTCTCATGTAGTACGGGAAAAACGTTTTTTCCTCTTCATGTAGATGCAATATACACGTTTTTTTTCTCATGTAGACGGAAAACGTTTTTTCTATTCTGGGAAATACTACGAAAATTTTTCTCATCATGTAAATACGGGAAACGTTTTTTTTTTTCTTGTGTAGATACGGGGAAAACGTTTTTTTTTCTCATGTAGATACGGGGAAAACGTTTTTTTCTTCTCATGTAGATACGGGGAAAACGTTTTTTTTCTCATGTAATACGGGGAAAACTTTTTTTTTTTTTTTTCTCATTAGATACGGGCAAAACGTTTTTCTCTCATTAGATACGGGGAAAACGTTTTTTCTCATTATACGGGGAAAACGTTTTTTTTCTTCTCATGTAGATACTTTTCTCATTAGAGACGGGGAAACTTTTATGCTCATTAGATACGGAAAACGTTTTTTTCTCATGTAGAGACGGGAAAACGTTTTTTGCTCATGTAGACGGGGAAAACGGTTTTTTCTCATGTAGATACGGGAAGTTTTTTTCACGTGTTTTTTTCTCAGAATAACGGGAAAAAACGTTCTCATGTAGATACGGGGAAAACCGTTTTTAATACTGTGTAGTATACGGGGAAAACGTGTTTTTTTCTCATGTAGATACGGGAAAAAACGTGTTTTTTTCTCATGTAGATACGGGAAAAAACGTGTTTTTTTCTCATGTAGATACGGGAAAAAACGTGTTTTTTTCTCATGTAGACGGGAAAAAACGTGTTTTTTTCTCATGTAGATACGGGAAAAAACGTGTTTTTTTCTCATGTAGATACGGGAAAAAACGTGTTTTTTTCTCATGTAGATACGGGAAAACGTTTTTTTTTCTTTTAATGAAGATACGGGGAA